CTTCCCCAAGGGCACTTTACCTTTGCTACTACTTTATGCACTGCTATTTGTTCCTGGGGGTGGGGGTGGAGTGCAGTAAATTTGCGTGTAATTAATGCCATCAGAGCTGCAGATGCGTGCACACATGACTGTTTCCTTTGCTAGCAGCTGTTAAGAGTAGTAAAGGCTGTGGGCCATGTGTTCATTCACCTACTAAATAGAGTGATGGATCACATGTTGTCTTGTCATTCCACACTGTAGTAAAAACCGTCATTAAAATAACCTTTCCAGCGCAAGTTTTTGAAAGAAGATTGTAAATCTGTAATAGCCTCCACAGTTTTTATATACCTACCAAGCAAATTGCATATGTATCAACCTCTTTTAAGTGAAATAAAATACAACTCTACTGCCTTATTACATCAGCTCAGTTAACTTATGCTGGCTGGCTTTGATTGGGCCACATTAGTATATAGTTAACATTTTTTCTAAAGATTTAGTTGCATTTTACTTTTAACTTAAGATAGGTGCTCTGCTCATACCAAAGTGTTCTGGTTTACTAGTTAAACATCTACAACTCTGGTGAGTCTATTCCATCTGCCAAATGCTAACTGAAATTACTCCTGAGTCACATTTATTGAAAAAGGAATAACTTGTCTATACAGAATGCTTGCCACCATTTACAGATCCTAGTTTTGCTAATCCAGGGACTATTAATTGATATATTCCATTAATCAACTTGTGAACACAGCGTAGCATGAAGCCTCTCTAAAACCAAAAGCAAGGTATTCTTCCCCATGTTCTCCCCCACGGAAGGAGGTTTATTGTTTTATCTGATTATTACAGCAGTTTCATAAAAAGAGGGAGGAAATGTAATACATTGTAAATTTAAACAATTCAGAAAAGTTGAAGGAAAAATTTTTAATTAAAAATCATCCAGAATAGCCCTGGCCAATGTGGCTCAGTTCGTTGGCCGTTGTCCCATGCACCAAAAGGTCGCAGGTTCAATTCCGGTCAGGGCAAATGCCCAGGTTAGGGGCTTGGTCCCCAGTAGAGGGTGTTCAGGAGGCAGCCTATTGATGTTTCTCTCTCACATCAATGTTTCTCTCTCCCTCTCCCTTCCTCTCTTACTAAATTAGATCTGTGTGCCAAGGGTTAGGTACATATGAATGTGGCCTATTCCTATAGAGTAGTGAATGCAGTGAGAAAGATCAGCAGTTGCTTAAGAATACCCGTTGGAAGGGAATACATTGTTCACTTACTTTTCTATGTGACCTCCCTGGTAGCCAAAAAACGAGGTGGCAGGAGAAGCCAGCTCATAATAATGACATTGTGAATGGTTACCACTTCTGTCTCACTGAAATCTAAGGTGTTAGAAGATTGGAGGATAATGTGTGGCGTTGCTCTAGAGTCAAATTTAAACATATGGCACAAAATGAAGAGAAAAGCGTTTTTGCACTTGAATGTACAGGTGAGCGATTCTGCTATTCCCACAACCTCCAGAAATGCAGAAATGAAAACTACCTCCTTTTTGTGTACTCTCTACACTGCTAAAGTAGATTTTATAACATTGATGGTGACAGTCATATAATCTGAAATTATTTCAGGGTGCAACAAGTCAGTGTGACAGAGATCTCTGATTTTAGTTAAAATAGTCTTTTTGTGTGTTCTGTTGTTGAATTAAACCCCACTTTCTTTTAAAATGTTTGAGCACACAACATAAAAGACACTGTAATCTTGGTTTCCATACTATGCCTTTCATTTATCCAAGATTTATATTGAATATTGAGTAATAATATAGACGTATAGAAGACTAAAACACTCAGTGAGACTTATTATGGTCCAGATGCTTCTCTAAGCGCTCCACATATTTATTCATTAGAGAAGGAAGTGATGGGCCAACTAGTGCCATTATTTGTTTGATGCAACTGCTCACTTAAACCTGATGTCACTCTGAATCTCATATGTGTGAATTACTCCCAAGCTTTAGGGCCCTTCAAGACCCAAACTCAGCAATGTGTCCTCTAAACAACTCAAGTAGGACTTCTTTGCCAGCTGATGGAGTGGACTACCAATCATAATGGTTTTTAAAAATGGAAATTGTTTCCTTTCAATTCTAAGTATTAGAACCAAGGGGGGTTGGGGACAAAAAGTTTCACAAATAATCAGAGTTCAGACAGAGAAGAAAAGGTCCAGGTAAAAAGAACAGATTACCAAAAAAGCAGTTTTTAAATTTACATGCCTAACTATAAGTTCTAAGATTTGCATTTCTAGAAGCTCAGAATCTTAGAACTGGAAGGGACTTTAAGGAATTATGGCCTGCAAATTTCCTCGTTTATAGTTGAGGAAAACCAAAGCTTTGAGAAATTCATTGATTTGCCCCAAATCTCACAAATAAATAGTCAGCCTTCAAGTAGATTCAAGACCCGCTGGCTTGTCACCTGTTCTGTGTCATTCCAGTCTAACCTGTCCGGTTTCTTAGGTTTGCTACCATCAAGGCTTTTTCAGGCTAAAGTGTTTGCTTGCCCCCCTGGGCTTGAGAAACAAAAGTCCTTGAATGTTTCTCCTGTTGCTCTTATCTAAAGCACAAGAAGTCTGGCCCCTGGGCTCTTAGCCTCAGGAGGTTCAGCATTTAGGCTTCTGGATTTTCCTTTGGCTGCCATTGTCCTTGCTACCATTTTGGGTTGCTTGAACAAATTATTCCTCAAGAATCTGAAGAAGAGAAATGTCATTAAGCAACTGCTTTCTTATATTTTAGTACTATAGGTGTCTAAGCAGGTGAATGCCTGAGGTAGTAAGCCGTATAATGAAAAAAAGATAAGTTTTGTTAAAGTATGTGTGTGGCTGGTAGCCCTGTGGTCTTTCTGAAAATGTTTGCAATTTTAAAGGAGGATGATACTTAAACACATCTCTCTCTGGTATAATTTTAAAAGTAAAGGAAACATTTGAGGCGTTGGAAAGAGATTTCTGTGCTCACTGAGCAAGTCACCCTTGCCTGGGACACATGCAACTCCCCTAGGCTATTCCTGCTTTACATAATCTCTTATCTTCCTGGACTTGTTAACCCACAATAGTCCAAAGCTTTTTCCTTCACGTTTGTCATTGGCTATGGAGGTATATTCTGCTCAAGTAAGTATGGCCATTTGGAAGTATAGGTCATTTACAAATTATGAATTTGTAAGTACAGGTCTGCCTGTATATGCTGAGTGCATTAAGAGAAGAAAGAGAATGAAATGTTTTTCTTGTTTCTGCCTGGTCTGGAATTTCAGGAAAGTAAAGGAACACAGATCCAGATTCTTTGTTAAAAGTTCATACATACTGTCATTTTGACATTTAGTGTCAGACTTTCTCTCTTTGTAAATTCCTCTTTGCTTTACCAGTGCTGGTCTCAGAGCTCAAACTGTTTCAAAACCATAACATTTCTTAGTGAGTGATTGATCTGTATTATGTGTCCAGCCATCAGGAGGATCTTGGGATGTTGCTTGTATAAACTGTAATCCAATCTGATGCTGTGCATTTAGTTACAGTCTTTCATAGACCTATTGGCGATACTCAATCCTCCTGGATTTGGGAATAGGGTTTATCTGATACCTTCAGGAGGAAAAAATCCATTCATTTTTCTCTCTTCCCCACTTAAATAACTCAACACATCTGGTAACACTGTAGGATCATTGTCCTTCCAGTTCCTCTGCAGCTCATATTGCTACAATATTTCTTAAGTATTTGGTTACCTAAAGGGCAATGTGATTTAAAAAAAAAAAAAAGACTTTGTATAGGTCTTACAAATTAACCTATTTGCAGAGCTAGAAAAAAAACATGCTTTTAATCAGCAAAATTTCCATATCAGCAGCCTTGTGTATGTTATGCAGTATGCATATAAATGTAAATTTGGAGATAAATGTTCATGTGTTAAAATAGTAAAGCAAGTCTTTCTCCAAATTAATGTAATTTGCCTCTAAGAAAATGTTTATTAAATCCAGGGTACCTGGAATTGAAATATCTTGTTGTTTGGGTCTATATCCTTTTGCTTACTAATGTCTTCAATTACAAGAATGATAAAAGCTGAAACAGAATCCTTTAATTCAATCAGAGCTGAGCTAAATTTTAGGAAACAAAGAGTGAGAATCAGATACAGAATGCATAATATTGGAAGCTAAATATACAAGATATTAAGGTTTCATAAGAAGAGGATAGGGTTGCCTTGGGGAATTCTTGTTTGAAATGGTTGCAGTGATCATTATAATAAATAGCACCATTTTATCCTTTGAATTAAGATGGTTTATGCAAACAACTCTAAATTGTACAGTAGTTCCAAAGAGACCATTTACTGTTTTCTGCTTGTTTTACATTCTGGAACAAGTTCAAAGCTTTTGATTTTGCTTGATTTTTTTTTTTTAATAGCCTGAGCCTTGAAAGTAATACAGGTCTGATGAACACGATTTCAGTCTAGTGTTTCTGTAAAAACGTTCAGGTTTGAGAATAAGGTGTGTTTGGTCCGAGTCCCTTCACTGAATATATCCACGGTGCATATCAGAACAAACATGTTGGAAAGGTTAACCATTCTTTTGCATTTGCTTTTCTTTCTGTATTAAGTATGAAAATTAGCATTGTAATGGCTCCCAGAATGAGGATTTTGAAAAAGTATTTACCTAACAGAAATAAACATACAAAAAATAAATTGGGTTAAGATTTCATTAGTTGTCTGAAATTTAAGCTTATGTTCAAAATGGCTATTACTGGATTTTCATGTATATTATTAGTTAAATGCTGTGCTTATAAGATTTTTTTTTTTTTTTTTTTTTTTTTTTGCTTAAATTATGACTGAAAAAATTGGATCACAGCTCTTAATATTCAGGTGGGCAATGCCAATGCCATTTGCCAGAATCTTTGCACATAACACTGTGGGGTTTTTTTCTATCAGACATAAATACTGCCTTGCTCCTAAGCCTTCTGAGGCATTTTGGGGTAAAAATATGGATAATTTTTTTAATTGTATTTTTAAAATTTTTGATCTTATTTTTTAGGTTGTGGAACTTCTAGCAAGTGCCCTTAGGGACTTGGTACAAGGAGTATACCATGAAAATTCTACTTCTGCAAAGGTAAGAATTTGGTATTCATTATAAAATGTTAGGTTAAAAACCCTGTGGCAACACTAGAATTGACGAGTGAAAATGTCATTTTTGTTTTCTGTTTTAATTGCACATGACATTTTTTTTAGATTAGTGTTTTGGCTACAAATTCATGGCCATACGCTTAGTACATCACAGATTTAGCCAATTAAAACAACCTCTTATCCTTTAGCTGGATTCACAGTCTGTTCAATCTGCAGCAGCCCAGGCGACACCAGGATGTTGCTGGCTGCCAGGTAGCGACCTGTCACAGACAGGCCAACTGAGGGAACAGCTCATCCTGAGGTGACTGAGCCTAGCCTCTCCCCAGAGGAAGGGGCCTTCTGTGTCCCAGAGGAGTAGATGTGATTTCAAGAAGATGATTGGTGGGGGCCTGAAGGAGGAATGTCTTTTATATCGAAGATCCCGAATTTACTGCATTATTAAATTCTCTATGATAAAAATTTCAATGGTTGCACAGTTGGATTATTTTGATAAATTTTATAGCTCTAGAATGAAGGTTTTTGACTCATTTGGCAGGACATCTCAAGAAGGGTTAGGTTTTATTTTTTTTTTAATGCAGTTAATACATTTCAATAGGATATTGAATGTGAAGCAGTTGCTTCATTGACCACCATTGTCATTTAACATGGTATATACTATTATAAGGGGTTCCTATCATAGTGTTTCATTATTCTAACTTCTTTAGCATCTGAATTAGCAAGATTTCACTCACTGCAAATGAGAAAAAATATGCATGTATGCACATCTTCAGCTTTTTGACATTCCCATTTGAAAAAAGAAAGATAAATTTTATGGGAAGTGAAACACAGAGCATGAGCAACTTGGATAAGAAATGTAAAAGTATAACCCAGGGACTCTGGATGTTCAGAGAGTGGTTAGTGAAATGTGAAGAACTGTACCTTGGACATCTGCTAATATGTCCAGGGAACTACAGTTCCCAGTAAGCGTATGTAAGTTCACCCAAACAGCATAGTGGTATGTGGAGACCTGGCAGGATATATGATCACAGTGGTCCCCCTTTGCTGTGTTTTTCAAAAACATACCATAGTTCACCACGGCTAAAGGTTAATAGGAGATTGTAAGATGGAAGACCCCTGGTTCAGTTCCACTTATAGAAAGTTATCCTGTATATAGTATGATGAAGATGGATAGCTAACCAGACATGACTGTGGAAGTATTCACCCGTGTTTTTACACTTAATCTTTCCAGAAATCGTGCTAGCAGATACTACTCCTATCCCCATTTTACATATGTGAAAACTGAGGTCTAGAAAAGATTAAGTTATTTGCCTACGGTGACACAGCTTATTAGTTGAGAGTTAAACTGCAGAGCTCAGGTCTTAACCTCTCATTCTGCTGCCTCTGTGCCTTAATGAAACCTGACTTTGCTAATAGCCGTCTGCCATACCTGGTACCCCACCATATATGATGAGTACAGTGACCTCTTCTGGCAGTCGAGGTATTCTTTTCCCATGGGATATTTTCAAGATGTTCAACTTGGTTTTATGTAAAATATTAATATTTTACAGTTAAATATCTTTTCATTTTTAAGTGAAGGTGTTATTGGCTTAAAGGTGCATGGTTTATCCACTCTTAACATCTGTCTACTATAATTAGCCCAGTTCATTAATAATTTTGTGAATATTTGTTAAGTACTTTTTATATATCAGGAAGACCTAATACCAACAACAACAATAAATGCTTAGCTAGCACTTTACAGTTTGCTTATACTTTCTTTCTACACAATCAACTATGAAAAGGGGGACATTTGTGGTATACCCACTTCCTAGAGGTAAAGACTGAAATTCAGAAATGACAAGTGGCAGGAAAGCATAGTGCCTGGAAATTGTTAGTGCATGTTTGACAGGGACATGATCGGAACCCAGGTTTTTTTTTTTACTCCAAGTCTCATATAATCTGTTTCTTCCTGGGAAAAAGGAAAGATGAAGCAGCAAAGCCTTTGAAGGACTGTTGATCATATATGAACCACCACTTAGCAAGCAGCAGTTGCTGGCTTTGATTAGCGAGTAAGTTTTACTTAAAAGAATTTGTAGCAATACTTTGTTCATCTGCCCTCTTTCCCCACCACCTCCCCAAACACAGTCCTTTAATGCAGTAGAGACCTTTTTTAAAGCAGTTACATTTCTGAATATAGCCAAACTACTTAAAGTGCCTTTTTAAAAATAATGGAACCAAAAATGCATAGTTGAACTAAGGCAGTTGGTGTACTTTTTGATGTCTCCATTTGTGCCCCATGTCCAATTCAGGTTAACCACGTTTCTCTTCCTAACCAGAAAAGCTCTGGTCCCACCCCACTCCCTACCCCCCAAATGTGCTTGTCATTGGAATGGCTTTTCTGAATTTGGTTTTTCTGACTTGGCCCAGGAATCGATTCAGATGCAAAGAGCACTGCCCCACACTGAGTGCCTTTAAGGCTTTCCTGTTCTGGCAGGACTGGGAAGCCACCCGAAGTGGAGGTCACGTGGGAAGTGAGTTGCACAGCCTCCCAGCCTTGGGCCAATTCAGTACACAAAAGAATTGCTTTGTGATTTAAAATAAGCTGCAAACCACTTCATCAGTCTGGGGATAAGAGGTTACAATAATGGTCTGTTTTTTATATGCCGACTTAATGCAGTGCTGGAGAATCTATCTTGGGCAGTACAAAAATAGCTTCCTGTGGAGTGGTGTCTGTAATGAGGTAGATGCACTGAAGCACGTGGAGGGGACCGGAACTGAACATGTTTCAAATCACCTTCTCCTGAAGAAGTCTGTAGACCAATTGTCTAATCCTTAAAAGTATGAAAATTTATGCAACTTATTTTAGTAATACTTAACAGATTGTGGGTCAATTGTGATCACATAAACATTCAAAGTAATTTAGGAAATTTATCCTTTGTTCTAGCCATTGAAAAATAGAAATTTTATTTTTACATCTGCTAGTTTGTGATAATAAAAATTAGTCACCGTGCTTTCTTTAATGTTTATAAAATCTTCCCTCTCTCTACTTTTTTTTTGTTAGCTAATTGAAGAGAGAAGCATATTAAATAGAAAAGTCACATTTTAAATGGTCATTTGCCATTCTAAGAATTCCCCAGTCGAGCTGCCTTATACATTGTGCTCATGTTACTCACTGTACACACTAAATATTTAACACTTTAGCAAAATTGGCTTTGAATCCATAGACCTTTATATCTAAAATATTTTTAAACATAATTATCTTATTATTATAACTTGTTTTCTAGTTAGAAAAGTAAATACATGTTCATTAAATAAAAATTGAAAACATAGAAAAAGGTCAAGAGGAAAATAAAAATGATTTTATATTAAACTATCCTCCAGAAATAATGAATCATGATTATATTTTATTTTAGTGTATTTCCTTCTGGATTTCATTCTGCATTTCTCCCATTTTGGAGGATATATATATGTGTGTGTGTATATATATATGTATATATGTATATATATGTGTGTGTGTGTGTATTTTTACTGATTTGTACTGATTTACTCCCTAGGATAATCATTTTTGTTCTTCAAAAATATAATTTTAATGACTAGTTAATAGTTCTTTATACTACTATACTATAATTTACTAAACCATTGCACAATTTTGGGGCACTTACCTTGTTTACCTTTTTTTTTTTACTAGTGTAAACAATATTGTGATGAGCACCTTGTATATAAAACATTCTAAGAGTGAGATCTTTTTAATAAAAAAGTAAGAATATTTATTCTAAAAAATATATACTCTTATTGATTTCAGAGAGAGGAAGGGAGAGGGAGAAAAAAAGAGAAACATGAATGATGAGAGTCATTGATTAGCTGCCTCCTGCATGCCCCATCCTGGGGATCAAGCCCAAAACCGGAGCATGTGCCCTGACCGGGAATCAAAGCATGACCTCCCTGTCCATAGCTCGACACTGAACCACTGAGCCATGGCAGCTGGGCAAGAATATTTTCACATTGCATATGAAAATTTGCAAGATATTCATGTTGCACATCCCTGTGCAGAAAAGGATTTTACTATCCTTAGAAAAGCCTGCTTGTAAGGCTGACCCTTGGCTGGCATCTGGGAATTTGGATTTTAGGAGTGTTTCTACCATTCTCTAATGATAAGGGCAGCTTGCTGTACCTGAACTGTTTCTGCAAACAATGTGGTTTATGCTTAACACCTGCTTTCCTTCTAGGAGTCTGAAATTTTGGTACCCCCTAGGTAGAGGATGCCTGAATGACCAACCCCAACAAAAACCCTGAGCACTGAGTCTCCAATGAATTTCCCTGAAAGATAACACATTTCATATGTGTTACCACATGTGTTAACTCTAGGAGGAATTAAGCACATTCTGTGTGATTCCACTGGTAGAGGAAGGACTTGGAAACTTGTACCTGGTTTCCTCCAGACTTCATCTCATGTAGCTTTTTCCTTGGCTGGTTTTGCTTTGTATCCTTTTGCTGTGATAAACCGTAGCTGTGAGTCTAACTATGTGCTCAGTCCTGTGAATCCTACTAACAAATCATCAAAGCTGAGGATGGTCTTGGGGACCTCAACACACTCTTTTTCTAATTCTTTATTTTTATTTTTTTTAAATATATCTTTATTGATCTCAGAGAGAGGAAGGGAGAGGGAGGGAGAGAGTTGAAACATCAAAGATGAGAGTCATTGATCAGCTGCCTCCTGCACGCCCCCAACTGAGGATCGAGCACACAACCTGGGCATGTTCCCTGACTGGGAATCGAACTGTGATCTCCTGGATCCTAGGCCAACTGTCAACTGCTGAGCCATGCCTGGCTGGGGTTTTTCTGATTCTTTAATGTTTATTTTCTACCCACTCCTGTTTCCTCTGGAGGAATCTAATCAAGGGCTTCCGCAAGGGAAGTGTCTTCAGCTCACTTTCATGTTGAGATGGGGAACAGCACACCTCTTCTCTATCTTCAGAAATTCTGCTCATGTTAGCTTGTCCCCAGTCTCAG